CGGCGCGCGTGCGCGAGGCACGGGGTGGTGTCGGGGGCGGGGCGACGGGCTGCGGCGAGGGCCAGAAAGCCTCGGCAGGCGAAATGTCTTAAAGAGATAACCCGTCGCGCGCGTTTTCTGCAAGAACCGTCACCACTAGGTTTGGCGGATGCAGGCCGTTGTCTTGCGCACTCAGGAACCGACTGCTGTGACTCTCTCGTGCTCACAGCTGGAGCATGCGGCACTTCCCGTTGTCCCTGGCATGCTGATACGTGGTGTGGGGGACAAACCCAGGGAGTCCAGTGGGGAGCTCTGTCTCCGCCGAGCGCCCGGCCTCCTGGGGCCCACTGCAAACTCAGAACCTGCAGAAGCAAAGCCTTTCGCTTCGGATCCAGGAATTGCAGCCCGGGGGCAGGGCCCCCCGCAAAGGCGGGAAAGGTGGGCGCTGCAGGATGGGGAAGGCTCTGGGGCTACCTGGAGGGCGGAAGCGAAAGACAGGCTTGTGTAAAAAGAAAGCAATGTAACGTGATACTCCACCAACCAGACGCCGCCAGCCTCTGTCTGGCACGGTGCAATTGTCCCTCGCTTAGGTTGCTCCAGATGCCTGAGGTCAAAGGGTGAGTGTGACCGGAGCTCTCGGTCCGGCCACAATCTTGCAAGGGTCCTTCTTCCAAATGGCCTCTGGCTCCATCTTGGAAAGTCTGTCAAGATTTTCTTTAGTTCACGTCCCGTTCTGTAGTCACAGCACTGGAGGAGGCTCAGACAGGAGGATGGCAAGCTTGAGCACAGCTGTAGCAAATTAACCACTTAGTGAGACCCTGTCTCAAAAGAACTTCAAAAGGCCTGTGGATGGAGCTCAAGGAGAAGGTTCTGGTTCAATCTGGGAGAGGGGGAGGGACGACGTTACTTTCACAGTACTAAGTGCAGTCACTTGATTCCAGAGACTTCTTTCTCCTGGGGCCCACCCTGCCCTCCTCTTCTGGGAAAGGGACACACTGAGAGGGGGACATAGGCATGAGGAGGACTGGGAGCCAGGTCTTCTGCACCCTCTCACTCCGCTGCCCCACTTCTGCTCCGCATGTCAAGTCTTAAGATCTTGGGAGTCTCCCTAGCCTGAGCACCTCTACAGCTTCAACCCAGGCTCGTGGGGGAGAAAACCCACAGTCTTCTACTTCCAGTGACAAGCAGCAACGCAACGCCAGGACCCTGGGCACACAAAGGGAGGTGCTTTTGAAAGGGAGACATCTGGGGAGTTTGAGGTGTGCAGTTGCCATAGCTACAGAAACAACAAGATTGGCAGTGGTCTGGAGACACACACACACACACACACACACACACACACACACACGACAGCTCTGTATGGATCTCTGTACCCAGGAGGCCTGATCTCTTGTGCCAGGTGCCCTGGAGCATGAGGTAGGAGCCCCAGAAGGGTGAGGAAGCCAGCACCAGACAAAGGACTCAGCATCTCCACTTCCACACCTGGCTGCCTGGATCAAAAACAGAACCCACCACCGCACCCCTCCACCACCTCTCAGATGCTGTCGGGACCCATTGGCTTCTCCATTCCTTCCCCAAGCCCCGCCTGCATCCTGGCCTTTCCAAACCTGACCAGGCAGAAGAGTATCTATAGATCCAACTCTGACCTGCCACTCCTGGCCAGAGACTCAGAGTTCACTCCCAATCCCACTGGAGTCCAAATCCAGATTTAGACCCCAATCCAGATTTAGCACCACCTCCCTCACTGGGCACCCCAGATCCCAATCCTTGGCACTCCTCCAGGCCCAGCAAGATCTGGGTCCTGCCCCCCAGAGCCCTCAGGTTCCACACTTGCTCTCCCGGAGGCCCCTGGCCTCCCAGAGCCTCCTAGGAAAAGCGCTCCAACTTCAGGAGCATCTTTGCAATCCATCCCTGAGCCATGGCACAGCCCTGACACCTCCAGCTCCACAGGCTGGAGCCGCCCAAATGGTATTGGTCTCGTAAAACTCACAGGAATAAACGGAAGAGAAGGGGCTGGGGATTTAGCTCAGCGGCAAAGTGCCTGCCTGGCAAGTGCAAGGTCGTGAGTTTGGTTCTCGGTACCGGAGAAAAACCAAAAATAAATAAATAAAAAATAAAAAAAATAAACGGAAGAGAGAGCAGGAGCCACAGAAGACCAAAACGAGTGGAGACTTAAGTGTTTCAGGACATTATGTTTTGGCCACCCGGAGCCAATTGGTAAATGAAACTGTTTCCATGAAAAAAGGTTACATTTGTAACATTTCCAGAAAGTTTCTTGCCACCCCTTCTGAAAACTATCACTTTGAGGGGCTGGGGATTTAGCTCAGCGGCAAAGCGCCTGCCTGGCAAGCGCAAGGTTTTGAGTTTAGTTCCCAGTACCGGAGAAAAACCAAAAAAAAAGAAAGAAAGAAAAAAAAAACTATCACTTTGTCACTGGTGAGTGTGGGTCCTTGTTTCAGTTATGACAGAAATCAAAACTGACGCGTTTGTGAAATTACAAGAAAAAGCTTTGCCGGGTATGGTGACGCACACCTGTAATCCCAGCACTTAGGAGGCAGAGGCGGGAAGATCATTTTGAGTTCAAGACCAGCCTGGGCTACAAAGTGAGCTCAAGACCAGCCTGCAGTGCATAACAAGACCCTATCTCAGAAAGACAAAAACAAACAGAAAAGAACCTTTAATTGGAAAGCAAGAGAAAATGAAGAGGAGCACACAGCTCTGACAAAGATCAAGCAGGACCCCTAGGACTGGGGATATAGCTCAGCGGTGCAAGCACCTGCCTGGCAAGCGTAAGGTCCTGAGTTCAATTCTGGGTACCAAAAGAAAAACCAAGCTGGGCCCCTAAAAAAGGAAAGTAAGAAAAGAAAGAAAAAGGGCTTTGGTTTAAGAAACATGAGGG